TGATGTGATCATTTGTAGCCAGTCAACTTCCAGCAAGTGAAGTCAATGGGAAAAGTCAAATTTGCTTTAATGACCGCATGGTTAACAACTGCAGGGATTTGCTTAACTGTGGCAAAAAAAGATCAAAAATGGGGCAAAACTCACTTAACTACTGCCTTGCTTAGCAATGGAAATTTTAGTCTCAGTTGTAGTCATAAATCAAGGACTATCTATATGTATAAAGCTCTAATCAAAAGAAACAAAATGGATGCCACTTATCTGAAAGTATATAATTTGATTAATTTTTTTTTAAAAAGTAGTGGCTTCTAGGAGATTATTGTAGTTTTTATAGAGCAAGGAGTACTTACATAGTTGGTAAAGTGACAGTCAAAACAAGGGAGAAATTTGTGGTAAGTTATTTTGTGGTTCTTTCCTAAATCTTTATTTCCCACTATTGCAGCTCAACAGTATTCTAAGGTGACCTGCTCCTCACTTGCCAGTATTATAGTAGTTCTCTCTCACATTCCCAAACTGAACTGACAACTTAAAAGTGAGAAGCCTCCTGTATGATCTAATTTCCCCTTTTCTATGAAAAAGAATATGGATTGCAGGCCTCAGTTCTGGCATCTACATTTCTAAGAATTGGAGCTACATTGTATGACTCTCATGTAGAAAACAGGAAAGAAAGACAATCGGGCTGATCCAGCCTTTATCGTCTAAATACTTTTGGTCACTGTAAATAAATATATAAACTTTTTTTGAGGGGGGGGACTTCTGGATTGACTTCAGTGAGAAAAAGTCCTGGAAGATGAATAAACAGAGTTTTAAAAGTTCTGTTTTATACCTTGATTTTACACCTAGCAATATGTTCTGGTAGAAACTGACTCACTCCTGCATTGAGCCAAGATGGTTACCCTCAATTAAAAAGCTACATGAAAATGCTCCCAGGCTACATAAATCAGTAAAAGTCATTTACTTGTAGAAATTCCAGAGAAACATGTGAACCAAGACTGTATTCTCATTTTTAACATTTTAATTCTATAGTTTTACCTCTAACTAAGGTAAGTTTTATTCTCCCTTATTAGGTAGCAGTCAGGTAGGTATCTGTTATATTATGCTGGTGACATCACTACTCTATTTTACTGACTGGATTCGGAAGTTTTCAAGCCTTTACAACCCCTTGTGATGAGGAAAAGCTAACTACTACCTACCTCAAAAGAAAGGTAGGCTCTCATGAAAGAGAGCCTCCCATCATTAGTATTGCAAGCAAATAAATAGAAGTTAAGCTAAGTCTTTGAATATCTTGCAATGATTTTTTTCATTTATCCAGGATCCTAGAGAGAACTAATTAGGATAGTTACTGAAAAGGCAACAGGAGTGCAAAGACTATATGGAAGCTACTATAGATGTTAGCAATTTTTAAGACTTCAAAGCAAAAACAAGTATCCCAGATATTATAAGGCTTCCAGGTATATGTTTATAAAAGGTTTTATCTAATGGAAACAAGCCAATCCAAACTTTTATGAGTCTAAATTCAAGACATTGCCTCATTTTTAATTTATACAACTCAATCAATGAGTGCCTTTCAGTGAGTGCCCTTTCAGTGAGTGCCCCTATTTACTGATTCAAATATAGGCTTAAAGTAAAGCTTCAACTGCTCAGTGAGTTTCAACTGAATTTAAGAGATCTGTATAATCTGAAAGAAAAGGGGAAGAAAAGAAAAAAGAGCTTTTAAAAGAAAACATTCTATAGATATTCTTACTAGGTGAGAACAAAGCCATGTTACTGCTTTTTTCTCTGAGAATTAATTCAATGCTTGAAAAATGTTTTTTAAAATAATCTCCTTAGCCAATTTTTTTGCAATTTGGGGGGTTAGTAACTTTCAGCCTGGACTATAAGTTCAGTTTTGTACCCATCGTACAAGAGAGCATAGGGAAGGCCTGAAGAATTAGGCAGTCCCAGAGACATTTAATTTTTTTCCTTTGAAAAGCAGCAACTTCCTTCAGTTACAGAAAAAAAATTGGCACGAAGATAGGGAGTGTACGTTTGCAGAGTCAGCAGATTTTAGGATCGTATTAAGTGTCTAATAGACACACATACATATGAGTATCCTGCATATATTAGAACAGAAGATGGCACTGGAATTACAATAATCCCCCTTACAAAGTATAACATTAAACAATTGTAAAAAATTTCTCTGAGAATGCATACCTTTAAGTCAATATTTACTGGTATGCCGCTTACATAAAAAACTTTAATTAGAAAAACAACATTCACTAATTTGAATGTGCACAATATATAAGATATAGGTTGGGCAAAGCCTGAAGGAAGGATTTTATATAATCAAGGACATTTTTGCCATCCATATAAGAGCCTGCAAATTATGAAAAACATTCCAAGAAAAATATTTGAAATTCCTAAGGGCCAGATTAATTTTTGATAGAATGACAAGGACTTCTTCACAGTGTGTTGTCTATGTTTTCTGCCCTCAGTAAATTCTCAGTTTAAGAAACTAAAGTTACATTAAATCAAAATATTTTTGTACTTGCATGATGCTAAGTCATGTTTATGAAATGGATGGCCATATATTTAAATAAAATTCATAATGTATGAGGAACCAGAGCAGGTGCCAGGACCTGATCTAACAGAGGAGCCTCGCTGACCCTCTCGAGCTGTGCTGGGGCCCCGGATGGCAGCACACAGGCTGCCCGGGGTCCTGGGAGGCAGACGCCTGGCCCAGCCCTTGAACTTCCGGGGCGCTGCGACCCTACAGACTGGCTCCTGAAAGACTGTTTTTGTCTGCTGCTGCTAATGGGATGGGGCAGGCAGCCGCACAGCACATCCGGCAGGCCAGATCACATGCCTCCCCCCCCCCCAGTTTCTCTGCCTCCATCTGTTGCTGGCCCATGCCAAGAGGGCTGGACTCACACATACACTCAGCTTCTTACAAAAATCATATCTATCCTCAGCTGATCAGGAGGAAAATGTGTCTGCTCTGGATTTTAAGGTAGAAAAGTGAAGGGGGGGGGGATTTCAAAGGCCCTGGAGAAAAAGAGCAAAGCTCTTCTGTTTGCCGTCCAAAGTGGGTGTCGAAGCCAACCCTGTGGGAAATGGATCTGCTCCTCCACGTAAAACCTCAAGGGCTTTACAAAACCATTGGGGAAGGGGAGCCTGGTCTTCCTTGTCCAGCTCCAGGTGGCATAGTTTTCCCAGCGCTTAGCATCCTTCCATACGAAAGAGGAACAGAATGCAGGGAGAAGTGGCAGAAAACGGGGCTGCATTTCCAGAATGGAGAAGGGAGACATGGGGTGATGCAGGGCAGTGAGAAAGTGGGGATCAGCGATTGCTGTGGGAAGGAAGGAAGGAAGGAAGGAAGGAAGGAAGGAAGGAAGGAAGGAAGGAAGGAAGGAAGGAAGGAAGGAAGGAAGGAAGGAAGGAAGGAAGGAAGGAAGGAAGGAAGGAGCAAAATTTTCAACAAACCTACAGGAAGGAACAATCCATGGCTGCGGAAACCAAGCGATAGCCTGTTGTTGGTGCCGCTGCCATGAGGCAAGGTACTTACAGGTGGCGGGGGAGGCCTGGCTGTGGGGCGCCGAGTTGTGTGGGTGCAGGGCATGTGAGACAGGTCCACCAGCCCCCACCCTCTGCCTTCCCTCACCTCATGGCAGCGGCACTGGCCTGCCAGACGCACTATGCATCTGCCTGCCCTGTTGTGGCTGTGGGCAAGCAATGAGATGGAGAGGGCCAGCCCGGCAGTAACAGCAATTCCACTAATCTGCGCTGTACGGGTTTTGCAGCCTCAAAGTGGCTACTGCCAGACATTATTGGCCCCCGTGTGCTCGCCACCTCCTGTACATGAAAAACTAAGACATCACCCAAAAATAAGCCTAATGGGTCTTTTAGAACAGGGGTGTCAAACTCGCAACGTCACGTGATGTGTCACGGCGTATCGCAACTTTTTTTCCATTGCCGGCAATCGGGTGGGCGCAGTTTCGGCATGATGCATCTGACTCGTGGGCCGGCAGTTTGACACCCCCGTTTTAGAGCAAAAATAAATATAAGACCCGGTCTTATTTTCAGGGATTCAGTAATCCAGATCTTCAAACACAGGTAAATAAGGGACTTAACTTAAGTTTATGCAGAAGCATATTTATTTTATTTTTATTATTTGGTTTGCTTTTTCTCTTATGTTCTCTGCAGTAATTCAGTGCAATTCTGTCCCTTTATCCTCACAATAACCTTGTGAAAGAGGCTGAGTTGAGAGAGCGCTTCTCCAAAAATCACCTCATGAACTTCAGTGGGCAGAGCTGGTCTTCAAACCAGGTCTCCCCAGTATACAGATGTCTTTTCCTATGTTTCAGGAAGTTCTTTCCTACCATGTAATTATTGAACAGTAATAGGTTGGATGAACATTAGAAATTTCACCAAAAACTCTACATGAAATCAAAAAGCTAATATATCATAGCAGCTGCACGTGCAAAGTATAAACTCAGAGTCTTGTATTCCAAATCAACCTCAAATAACAGCTTTATCATTTCAGCTTCAGTTCCATACATGGATAATAGGACAGACTCATCTTGTGGGTGAACTGCGATTATCAAAATACAGACAGGTAATAAAAAACAATCAATAATGCGGTAATAAAAGTAGTTCACGAAAATTACGTCCGAACTCCGAGTCCATCAGTGCTCGGGCCCGGCTGGATCCGATGCAATGAAGTCAAACTCCTTTCATTCTTCGACCTGGTTTCCTGACCTGAGCTTTATCACTATTAATGCTTGACCCTTCCAGGAGACGGAAAGTAGTAATGAGAGTGAACTCTTAAACCCTGGATCGACACTTGAGGGAAAGGCGTGGTTTACCTCAGGGCAGGGCAGGGCAGGACGACTGCCTGTCGTGGGCCGACTGCGCGTCCCTCCCACCGCGCTTCCCACGAACCTCTGGGCAGCTCTGCTGCCGTGACAGCATGAGGTTCAGCAGGAAAAGGAGGATAAGGAGGAGGAAAGGGATACATTCCGTACCTTTTTCTTCCCGGCTCTCGGCCGCCATCCTTTTTCCACAGCCGCTCCGGATATAAGCACAGCGCTTGCCACACAGAGAGAGACAACCTCACTTGGTGACGAGGAACGAGGAAACAAGTGACAGAAAAGATCCAACAACGATCCAGCAAGAAAAAAAAATATTCTCAGTGGCTACCCAGCCAAAATGGAGTCTCCCTTCAGAATCGACTTCTTCCTCCTCCTCCTCCTCCTTCCTCTTCTCCGTCCTGACTTCCTACGCGACAATTCTTTCGCTCCCACAATGCTCTACGCGACGGGCGCAATACGTCACAAGTCTCGGCGTCGGCGGAAGTGGCGGTTCGCATCATAGAGAGGGAGGCGGCAGAGCTGTACGCAGGGATGCCCGCTCCTTTCCTGATGGAGACCCTGAAAGCCTGCAAATTCCTCTTGATGTGAAGTGAAAGCCGCCTAGTGAGATCACGCCAAGCACTTTAGGATAGGGTGGGCCTAATTTCCTCTGGTGATTGTAGTAATGTTATAAAACTTTGCCTTCTTTATTAGATGTCCTTGCTTGGTTATTGATGCATATTTCAATAAGCTTTTGTACAATATCTTGTAATCTTCGATAAAGGGTATTAATGTCCGTAAATAAATATTATTGTTATAATATACTAAAATAAAACATTTCTTAAAAATTTTTTGCAGTAGCCTTTAAAAGGATGAAAAGACAACAGAGTTTGACTGATTTTTTCAATAAGAAACCAAAATCGGAATCAGTTGTATCAGAATTGGCCTTGGGTGGTACAGTCACAAGCACAACCGCACCAACTTGAAAGCAGCATGTCAATTATTGAAATAAAAACCGATAAAGATTCCAAAATTGAAAATAGTCTTCCTCAATGCTGGACGGTGGGATAATATAACAATTTTAAAGAAATATGACAGACTGGGAATTTCTAACAAAAAGGTTGCGAGTGACTTCACAAAAGGGAAAAGTGTTCATGTGTCAAAAGAATGGTAATGTTTTCAGATTGAGGCATCGGAAAAATAAAGAGGTACAACAAGCTTCTCTAAGGGAAAAAAATGAAAACATTTTTCATCAAAAGCTCCTATAACATTTGTAAAGAACTTAAAACAATGTGAGCAGGATTCAATAACAAAAATAATAGATACGATGAATGAGAAATATTTACATTATTACTTGTAGAGTATTTAATTCAGTTTTCAGCCTGGCAAAAAGATGTAAACATAGAAGATGTAGACGTAAAAGATGAGATAGAAGTGCAAATTTAAAATGGATTAGTTACGGGAATAGCATTACATTCAAATAAAACTGCTGTGAAAGTAGTTGATTTCATTGCAGAGGAAATTAAAAAAGAAATATTTACTAAAATTATTGAAAATAATCTGAAAAGATGTTTGATTATTGATGAAGCTTCAATGATATCTTGCAAACCAGTTATACTTTTCTTAAAAGTTGAGGATTTAGTTACATCATCAACAATTTTCGTTGAACTAGTTGAATTGGAAAAACAAGATGCAGAGACAATATGTTCTTTAAATAATGTTGGGCTTATTAAGAACTACCTAGAGAAAAATGTATTAGGATTGTGCTCCAATGGTGCCAGTTTTATGCTTGGGAGAAAATCTGGAGTGAGCACTAGGATAGCAAAAGAGTTTCCAAACATAATAAAATGTCACTGTTTAACACATCGCCTCTATCTTGTTTTAGATGATTTGATAAAGGAAATAAAGCAAGTAAATCATTTTAAAATATTTATTGATAAGATATATACTATTTTTCATCAATCCAATAAGAATCAAATTGAACTTACCAAAATATCCGAACAACTTGGAATTGAAATTATAAAGATTGGTAGAGTTTGGGGACCAAGATGGGCTGCCTGTAGTTTAAGGTCAACCCCAGCTGTAGGGCGTGCTTATCCAGCGCTACATCACTATTTTTATTCAAATGAAAAGTACTTAGGTATGGCTGCCCATCTTGAAAATATAACTGATTTGGCATTGATGATTAATATTTTACATGAAATTTCTCTTCTTTCAAATGCACTGCAAGTAAGAAATATAGATATAATAAAGGCTGAAAAACTTGTGATGATCTATTAAAGCATTTCAAATGCTTGGAAAGGAAAAGGGTCCATATGAAAAAAAAGGTGATGAATTAATTACTTTAGAAACCTTCAAAAATATAAAATTTGCAGAAAATCATCAATTTATTGGGCTTCCTTGGGAAAGACTTTTAGAAAATATAATGAATTTGAAAAAAAGACTAATGGATTGTGAACATTTAAAAGCAGATTGTAGCCAATTTCACGATAGGAATAAATTACAATTTCTCAATTTTTTGGAGCCAGACTACTGGAATATTGAAGCAGTATTAGTTCCATGGAAAGCAGCTGAAGAACAATTGCTCATATTTAATGACATTGTTAATTACCAAATTGATATTAATGATTATCAAGATTTCATGGAAAACGTTTTAAAAAATTCCCAGAGCTATTCAATTCCTGAAAGTGTTCAAAGAGTTAAAATATTGTCAGAACAATTGCTGTAAGTTCAGCAGAAGTGGAAAGGTGTTTTTCAAAGATGAACATATGTTCAGAGAAGTCGCCTGTTTCTAATACATCAAACTCAATGACTATTAGTCTAATCGACCTACCTCTAAAGGAATGGGATCCTATTCCTACAGTCAAAAGATAGTTAAGGATAAATCACACAGCTAATGCTCAGATAAAATCGAAGACAATTGCAAGTAAAGATGCAAATCAAAAAGCAATATTGAAATATTTTAACAGTTTTATTGTTTTTGTCAGGTATTAATATTTTTTCATTAATATTTTAAAATTCTTATAACAATTGTGTACCTCTTTTATTCTTATTTAAGTATTAAATGCAAGAAATAATAAACTACCTTTTGGTATATCATTTTTTTATACTTAAAACGGTCATTAGGGCAGAGAAGTGGTTGTTAAATTATTTGAATCTCACCACTGGTTGGGTGTGATTGGGGCTTCGGTAATTAGGAGAGAATCAATTACTCCCACCTTCTCCTGTCCCAAAGCAGCACGAGCAGTTTCTGATGCTCCTGCTTTTTCTACCCAAAATTGTCGCATAGTTAAAAGCCATTTTCAAAGGTAGTGGATTGTGTTTGCCTTCCAAGATCTAGCAAATTAGTGGGAGCAGAGGCCGAAGAGAGGAAAAATGTTAGATAAATGTGCAATTTATTGTTGCAATAGATAAGTAGAGGCTGAATCTTTGAATCCAACACCTCTCCCTTCATTGCTTTTTTAGCAGAATGTTCAATCACAAATATATTCAGATGTTGTTCTCTCACATGGGAGCAAAAGTTGGTTTCAGAGTGTGCTTTATTCTCACAGTTTACATTTTATTGGCTGCAAAGGGAGCGAGTTAAGCACTGGGTTTTGCAGACTCTTGAGGATGCTCCTGGGATTTCACACATGGCTGGGAGGGCCGTTGCGGCAGCCTACTGTAGTCGTCCTCCTGGGCGTTGCTATCAGTTTTCAGTATGCCTTTGCTATCAGTTTTCAGTATGCCGGGTGGTCTAGACAGCGAAAAACAAAAAAGAAGAAGCTTCTAAAAACAATGTTGTGTGATGGGAATGAGGGGCCGAACGCAGCAGAATGGGACCCTTTCTGAGGTTGTGGGGAAAATCACAGCCCTAAAAAATTCTGATGAGACCAATACACCTTTGCCTTCTTCATTATTCAGTTTTTTCCCTTCCTTTTGGGGGGTAACAGAATGCAGAAATTTGATATTTTGTAGCAATCAGATACATTTTAGGATTATAACGAAAAGTTAGGCTAATCACCAAGATAAACTCTGATCACTGATCCTAAAGGAGTAAATAGGAAAAATAGATCTCTCTGCCTAATTGTCTCATTTCCCCATTTTAACAATTGTTAAAATAGTTTGTTAACATGTATAACACTATTTAGTGTTTGGTTTTCCTTTTTGATGCATATTTTGGAAGGTTTGTAGATTACCCTGAGAAAATGGGGTTTGAAGAATGCTATTTAATAAATTATATTATTATTTTGAGCCTATTTTACTGCTCTTTTTTGTATTTCTTTATTGTGTTTATTATTGGTTACTGGATTCTGCAATTTGTTAAACTGTAATCTGTAGTTCACATGTGAATAGCTAAGTCAAAGTCAAATAAGCCCACATTATATATTAGCATAATATGTGAACAAAACATCAGGATAAACTATACTGGGGATTTCTGTTGGCTTAGAATGTTGTGCAATACTAGCCTGCACTTTTCTATGGCAGGGTAGTCCTTTAGAACTTGTATGGGCTGACAGTTAAGGCATCGGGCTAAAAATTGGGAGACCGTGAGTTCTAGTTCCACTTTAAGCACAAAGTCGGCTGGGTGATCTTGGTTCAGTCACTTTCAGTCCTAAAGGAGGAAATGGCAAATTGCTGTTGGAAAATCTTGTCAAGAAAACTTTAGGAATTAGTTCAAGCAGTTGTCAGGAATAAAACAAAATTTATCTGAAGGTATGTGCACACAAAATAAGACAATCCTTTTTCTATATTATCAAATGGATATTATTATACCTTTTATTTGAATAGCAGCAATGCAAACTGCAGTTAGCATACTCATTTTTCAAAGCATTTCAATTCTTATTACAACAGTCCTAGAAATATTCCCATTGCAGGGGTTTATTACATTTAAATGCGGCTTAATTCTCAGTGATAGTGGGCAGTTTACAAGTTGTTAACATCAAAACAAAACAAAACAACAAAGATGGCAAAGGTAACAAACCCAGATGAAAAAAACAAGTCAAAGAAGGCCTGGAGAAAGAGCCAGGTTTTCAAGGCCCTTTGACATTGGAAAGGTTGGTGCCATTCAAATATTGGGGGGGTCAACCCAGAATGCAGGTGCTACTGTAGAAAAGGTGGGCTTCTAGGATCTTGATAGATGACACTGCTAATGTGGTTTTCTATTCACCAGAGGGAAATTGTCATCAGGCTCAAGAAATCAGGAAACAAGGCTGTTCAAATGAGTATTAGGTTTATTCGCTTGGTAATCCTCCACAACAGTGGTTCTCAACCTGTGGGTCGGGACCCCATTTGGGGTCGATCGACCATTTCAAGGCTGTCCGCCATTTTTTTTGTCCGCCATATTTTTTGTCCGCCATTTTTTCCCCTTTTCCAGCGGGTGCCTTACCTCCCTTGGGCTGGGCCAGCTGGTGGTCGGCCTGCTCCGTCTCTGCCGCTTGCCAGCTACGCCTCGGCCGGCGCAGGGGACGGAACCACGCATGCGCGGCGCTCCCGGGCAGGGAAAGTCCTCGACTTACGACCGGTTGGGTAGTCCTCGACTTATGACCAGTTTAGTCCTCGACTTACGACCAGTTTAGTCCTCGACTTACGACCGGTTTAGTCCTCGACTTACGACCGGTTGGGGTCGCGGCATTAAAAAGGTTGAGAACCACTGCTCTACAAGAATTTGAACTACTAATGGTTAAAACAAATTGGTGGTAGATAAGAATAACTGAATTCAAGGTGGGCTGAAATTAGATCTCTTGTGGATGCGAAGGGACTTGAGACTGATGACGTTCTTGACCCCTCCCTCCCTTGGGTTCTGCCTAGTCCTCTCCTACAATTGTGTTTTTAATTAGAGTTTGGAGCAGCAGTAGCAGCATATCACTAGCATATACTGTATTTTAAGGAATAGCTTATGTTTTCATTTGGGGGTATCCTTGGATCATTCTATTTTGTTTTTTAGTAACTATTGTTTATAGTAGCATGAGGGTATGGTCAAATTAAATAGCTTTCAGCCTCCAGAAGAAGCTGGA